TTCCTGTGACTTACCCATTTGAAGTCCTTTGAAGAGTGAAGATAAATGTCAAACAAATCTAGCACCTGGCTTCTGCACATTTATCTTTTAAGAAATTTGCCCCATATCCCTTCAAAGAGTCTTGAAGCCACCAAGACTCAGCAACACAAATTCAGATTGCCCAAATATTTTGAATCATTCTACCTTTTAGCATCTTTGTTTTTGTCAATATTATGTATCACTGCAATTTCCTTCTTTGCCAAGAACTGCATTGAGTAATTCTGACCTTAAACAAACACAGGCACGCGCACACACGTGCATCTGATAATCTGGTTGTATGGAGACGAGCAACAAATCCACTTCCCCATCCCCAGATTTACTTTGGTTGCTAATAATCTTATGTGTCTGTGTTGTCCCCAGTATCCTTTGTTAGTTGCAACTTGTTTTGCAAGTTTGCTGTTCCAGTTTTGCCCCGGTGTATTTATGCTACTTGTTCCTTGATAACCTGTTTTGCTTTTTTACTTCCTTTAAGTTACCTTATGATGTCAGAGCGTTAAAGGCTTCTTCCTGCTTTATTTTTACCTTCCCAGTTTCTTGTGTCCATTCCGATTTCAATAATTTAGATATGAAATGGAAGAAGAGAAGAAAACTTCCTGCCTGCCTCTTTCCCTCTCCCCACCCTCCATTCCCTTGCCCAGAGATATAGATGAAGACAGCTACAAGGTGCTGCCTCACCTTCAGCTGTGCCATAAGAACTGCAGCCACATTCCATTCCAGATCAGCTTGTCCTCCTACCAGGGACACTAGGTTGCTCCATATAGCTCCTGGGAGACCTAGCAAGGATCTTGCCTCAATCCTTCAAGTGATCGCAACACCTAGCTAAGAACCCAAGAAGGCAACATAGATAGAAGGAATGTGGTACTCTGGTGCTAGCTTACCCTTTATCAGAATCCAGTTTTTATCCTCAGTGATAAATGGCACCTGGGGAGTTTGCCTGCTATAATTTTTTTCTGTTCAATAGACCTTCCTCAAAACTCTGATTCAAATGTCCTTGTACCTATTATATGCCTATTATATTCCCAGTATGCCATTGCTATCCTGACTTGGGATCATAGAGAGGTGTTGTAAAGATACAATTCCTAAATCAAAATCTAATTTCCCATTTGTTAATACATCTCTATTCTGCCTCTCAGCTTATGAAAGTATTTTCTAGCTAGGCTCTTCTGCATAGCCCTTGCAATCTAGTAAAGTTAAGGCTTTTCAAAGTTGTTCCTAGCAAGTTATTTTACAAGATTTTCAAAATAACATGGTTTTCTTTAATTTTTTTCTAGTGAAACTTGTGTTTCACATCATATATAATCAGAAACTATATATACAAATCAAGAACAGTGGCTGCCGGTTCTCCTTTTCCCATCTTCGGTGTTGATACTGTGAGAAATAACCATGTCCTCCCCCAATTCAAAACCACTCTATGTCTCATACATAAAGTTGGTCCTGCCTTTATGAAAACTTCAAGTAATATTTGAAGACAAATTGTCAAAATGAATTTGGCAGTTCCAGACCAGGAAAACCCCAATGCGCATGTCTTTCTTCAGCCAATGCTATTAGATGACTCTAAATGTTCTCTATGGTCCAACATCCCATTTACTTTTTACTGAGTCACACTGACCTTTTGATCTGTGGCTGAATCGTGGACTAGCAATTTTTTTAAGACAAGAAAAGCAGGATACCACATCCTGCTTTTATGAGTAACCTTGTTTTAGCCCACCCAAAACTTCACTTACAAGTCCAGTTGAAAACAGATGCTGGATTTTGAGCATATATGAAATATAGAATGTTTGGTGTTTCATTCCCTAAACTATGGGTGACAAACTTTCAGTGTCACGTTGCCGTCACATGGTTTATCATGACATTTTTCCCCTTTGTGGAGCTGGAGTGGGTGTTGCCTGCACGTGACGCCGCTGTGATGTGAGTTTGACATCCCTGCACTAAGCCCTAATTTCTAGCTTAATGTCCTCTTAACCCAACAAGTGTGATTTGACAAATCATAGTTAAAATAAACTTTGGTTTAGTGTGATGTGTGGACCTAGCCACAGTGTTACTCAAGGCTATCAATCTGATGATACTAAAGAAAAGGATAGTCAAAGTGTGTTTACAAATTCACAGTATCCTACCCAACTTTTGGAAGAAGGGACATCAAAGATCCTTCAGATTTTCACACAACAGAATTCAGAGATAATCATGGCTGAAAGGACAGCTACTTTTCAGCATAGTTTGTGCTGCACAGTAAGCCAGAAGTGTAAAGCCAGAAGCATCTACCCAGAGCTTTTGAACATTGTTACTAAATTGTTAATCTTTCATATGATCAGAGGGAAAACTTGACTATACACTAAATAGCCATATTTATTTATTTAAAATTAAATGGAATCAAAATTAGATTTTATTCTGACTGCATCTGCTGTTTTTTGGAGTACAGCCGCCAGCACACTCCACTCAAATCAGGAGCAGTCCTAAACTCGGGAAAACTTTGGCATATCCATGTATTGACCTATAATGGCTAAGTTCACATTATGCTACACACACACAGACAAAATGTCTGATAATTTACGTGAGTCACTCAAAGACAGTTAAGAAACTGATGCAAATGTGATACATTTTAAATGGGAAACTAAATTCCTATTTTGTATAGCTCTATTGCTCTTCTTTACAGATGCAGGAGTAAAAATGCGCCCTTGAAAGTCGCTTAAGAAAAAAATGTTTGTACATTGTGCATAGCAAAGATGGCGTCGATGATCTAAACTTGTTTAGATCTGTCACTAGATTCCCACTATATAAAATTTAATGCTTTTATTAAGCTGCCTCACACTTCTTGTGTCATGTCAGATGCAGTCCCTGAAGTAAAAGGCATCAGGAAGCAAATAGTGTGGCAAAGAAAATGTACAAGGAACATATTCTGGAGCACAGAAAGCAATCATAATCAGCTCAAATTGTGGATTGTAATTGGCTTCTTTAGCAATTGAGTTAGATTTGCATTGTCTGTCTTGGAGCTCATGGTGAAAGTATATAACATTCCCTCCTCCTATTTTTCTGTACAACCACAACCCTATGAAAGAGGTTGGGCTGAAAGAGAACAACTCGCCCCAGATCACCAGTGATATCCACAGGATGACTTAAATCTGGATTACCCCAGTACTACTCGAACCATTGCACTAGGGTGACTCTAAATCTAAAGTTTCCCCCAACTATTATTAGTGAAATAGAGGTCTGAACCATACAGCATATGAATTCATATAGTTTGGTTGACTATGCCTTAGCATGTTGCTTGAGTCCAGCCTATTGTGATTATTCAGATCATGCCTTAACAATTCCTGAAACAAGTCAGAAAAGATTTTGTTCCCCCACCCATTAACCCACCAAACAGTTTGCTTGGTTTCCTTTGTATATGTTGTGTGAAATCAACTACAAGTATGTGTCTAGCCCAGTATGTGAACCCAGTCTTCTTTTTGTTTTTTAACAAGGCATGACTCTCCCTTCCTCCTCCCCCCCCCCCCTCGTAAGTACTCCTTAAGAGAGAGCACCAAAATAGAGACAGAGCCTCAACAAAGATGTTTACAAAACTGACACCCAGCAAGAAAACCCTTTTCTTAGATCCTTCACCATATTAGCAAAACAACACTAATGGTAACATAAGAACTTTTTCTGAACAGGTCTTCTGGAAGAGGTGCCTTGCTTAGCCAGGGAGTAGGAAAGGGCCTGGTTTAGGATTCTTAGGAGCCAGAATAGCCTCGGGTGCTAGTTCCTCACTCGAGCTCCAGGACTAGGGATAAAACCAGCTGATTATCCTCACAGAACTGTTTTAGGCCTTGCCTTAGCGTTTTATTTCTGAAGGAAACTCGAGATTAGATACATCCGATCATTTTTGTTTGTAGAAACCCTATATGCTCTGAATGAGCAAGAGACGACTTCTGAAAGGGAGGGGAGCGTGGCCTGCTCTTTTCCCCGCCAGCACAAACTCCGCGATATTTACGGAGCAATCGCTGGGGCTGACCACGCTGAGATGACCGGCAAGAGACAGCATTACGGGAAAACTAACAAAAGCCGACAATCCACAACCACGACCCATCGACAGTGTGTCATTCCCCCCCCCCCCCCGCAGGACAAATGCCTGTGTGAACCAAGCGTTTGTGTTGCCCCCACGGGCTAAGCGCGCTCCACCCAGCCAGGCTCGCTGAAAGTTCGTGGCTTTGCGGTGTCTTGGGACATTCCCAGCCCCAAAAACATCGCCCCCTTCCTTGTTTGGCTGGAAATTGACATAGTCCAGGGGCCTTTGCCTGGCAACGTGGGCGGGGGTTCCCGGAATGGAGCCCGACCGGCAGAAACGTCACCAGGCAGAAACTGCCCAAATATGGGCATCTTCCTCTGCGTCAGCACGAGTCCCCCCCACTCCCGCTCGGCTCCCAAGGCTCCACCCACTGGAGCTGAAGTCAGAACTTGCGAGATCAAGGAAGTGGAGCTTAGGCGTGTGGGAGGCCAAGCCCTTGGGGCCCTTAGGCGCGCCCCCCTCTTTTTCCCGTCCCTGACTCCAACGGGCTATCTAAGCACCGGAGCTTTTTAGCGTGAAAGCTGACAGCTTGACATCAAAAGGAAGAACTTGGAAGGGAAAGGAAAGCGATTCCGAAAACATCGGGAAAATGACGCGCGGGAAGAGGGGGGGGATCATCAGAGAAGACGACATCATGCGGGGAGGGTGAGGAAAGGAAAAGAGAGCAAGAGGAAACGCGGTGAATTCCATCGAGCACATGACGGCCGGTCTAATTAGGTTTATACTAACAGGCCCATTAGGAAGAACAAACATCCACCGGAAGGGTTAACGAGCAGGTACTGCCATCGGGCGTTCCAGAAATTAAATCTTCCCCATGTATCTACGTTATCCCGTGATTAAGTAGGTCGTGTCCATGCCTGTACAGAAATCCAAAAATACTTTAAAAACAAAACAGGTAAACATGAAAGAGGCAGAGAGATAAAGTAATTCGAACGTCTTTACTTAAATAATTCATAAAAAGTCAAAACACAGACAAATACAATCATTGGGTGGGGGTGAACTTGAGGACTCAAAAGTATTAAAAACGCTAGTAAACAAACCCGCTTCCCCTTGGCCCTTTTGTCCACGCAATGGCCTCTTGTGGGGGGAAGAGAGAGGCTGAGATTCCATCACTTCCCTGACAAACTCTGTCCTGGTCCCTTTTCTTTTCAGTTATAAATTAAATTAAGTCCATGTCTTTTTCTACTGGCACGAAGGAGACCAAAAGGCCAGTTTTCTGGACTCCGTCTCGAGTACCTCCAGTCCCACTGCACCATCCAGCGATGCAGCCGTACGAGAGCGAGAGAGAAACGCGTTTCTTTTAAATACACACACATACGAAAATCACGCTCACGGACAGCTATAAAAAAAATCTTGTACACACTCAGCACAGATCGAAGTTCTGGATCCACCAGACTGAGTCACAGACGTAACTAGGAAACACAGACTTGGGAACGTGAGACGCCTAACGTCAGTCCGGCTCCGTGTAAACTTTTGCGTGACAAGTCCACTTCTCTTTCTCCCGGCGGGAAAAACGTCTTTTGAGATGACGGCGATCGGCCACGGTCCCTCACCGCCTCAGAAAGATTGCTGCATCTTGGTTGTCAAGAGGAGCTGGCAGCCGTTGTTCACGTGGTTCATGACTTTCTGCTTCAGCTGCGCTACCTGGTCTCGGAGCGCGCTGGCCGTGTTAGAGAGTCCCGCGTTCTCGTTCTTTAGGCTCTTCACCTTGTCCTCCAGCCGAGCGATGCGCTCCAGCTTCCTCTTCCTGCATTTTGTGGCGGCCAGGCGGTTGCGAAGCCGTTTCCTCTCCACCTTGATGCGCTCCTGGTCTTCCATGTTAATGGGAGACACGGGCGGGCTTTGCACATCCGGCACCGTCTGGGGCTCCTCTTTGAAACCCCGCGCGGGGTGGGGCAAAGCGAGGCTGTGAGGCTGCGGCATGTAGCTCAGGTTGGCACTGGGGAAGTTTGAGGTGGTACTCAGGGCGCCGGTAGGGTTATAGCTGGTCAAGTTGGTGTAGATAGGAGGAGGCTCCTGAGGGAGGGAGGCACCGTAGCCGCTGCTGGCCGACGAAGCTGCTACCGCGGCCCCGATCGAGACGTTAGGGGGTGGCATGTGGTTCATCTTATGGAGATCGTCCAGCGCCTTGACGAAACCGTCGGCGAAGCCTTCCTGCTCTTCGGTGGCTCCCCGCGGATAGTAGTACTGTCCCGACGGCGTGGGAGTGGTGGTGATCACGCCGTTGCTGTTCTGAACGATGAGGCGCTCCAACTCCGGCGCAGCGAGCTTAAGCGAAGAGCTCGCCGCTTCAGCCGACTGTTGCTGAAGCGAGCTCGGGAAGTAGCCGGCGGAGCTGTCTGCTTGGCCGCGGAGGTGATGGGGAAGCTGGGACTTCAGGCCGCGGAACGGCTCGGCCGACAGGTTCAAAGCCATGCCCGACTTCAGCGCCTTGTAGTCCTGACTGTAGCCGGAGAAAAAGGAGTCAGGGTAGAAAAGCTGCTCCATCTTCGTGCACATCAGCCGCGCGCTGGGAAGAGGGGGTGGATACCCGGGCTAGGACCGTCCGAGATGGCTCGGGGCTCACAGCAAAGGCCTCCTTCTCTCTATCTGCCTGCCTGGGGCGTGGATCGAGGTCTTCTCCCAACGCGAGGAGAGCGCGCTTCCGCCTCCCTCCCAAGCTTCACTTCCAGATTTCAGAGCGAGACAAGACACAAGAAGGGGGGGGAAGAAAAGCTTGTCTTTCCGGCGGCTTCTCCAACCTCCCCGCCCTGACTAAGCTCCGCTAAGCGAGGATGATTCACGCTTGTCCCCTACAGAAGGCAAAGCTCACAGGACGAGCGTGCCGGCTTCGAGCCCTCCCCGAGAAGCAAAAGGAGCAGGTACCGTACCGGCCAAGGGAGAGAGCGAACGAGAGTCTCCGAGCGCACTGCTGCCAATTGTGAATTATCTGGGCTGCAGCGTGCGTTTCCCGGCGCCTTTTATTCTGGCGGTGCCCGCGGTGCTGGCGGAAGGGCGCCCTGATTGGCTGCAGAGCGAAGTGCCTCCGCCCACCGGAGCCGCATGCGAAAGGGGAACTGAGCTCATTGCTCGGCAGCTCGTGCTCCAGTAAACAGCCCGCGGGGCGGCGGCGGGGGTTGGAAGGCAGCGCGTCAGAGTAACGGGATGGGCGGGAGAGCGAGGAAACCGGGAGCGAAAGCAGAGAGAAAAAGGGTGCAGCCGCGGCGGCCGTGTGAGCAAAGGCACGCACGAAGCAGAGGCGCGGGAGAGGTGGGCATGACGTCCTTTGCGCTGGGGAACCAGCCTCTCTGCAATTTAGCGCCGCTTATTGCCAAGCAAGCGCCAACCGAGAGGCAATAGGGGCGGAGGGTGGCTTTCTTTTCTTTTTTTGAATACAGTTCCCCAGAGAGCGCCGTGGTCGTGCATTGGCAGCCGGTTAGGTATTAAGTTTGGTATTAAGCATCTCTTCTATCTATAGGTTTAAGTTGGCTGTGGGTGATCTTTGGCATATCACGCCTTCAACCTAGCCAACCTTATGGATCTATGTATAAAGAGAAAAGTAAAATGACGCTCAAAAGGCAAGGCAGCCTTTCTTGGAAGGAAAGTGACAGGTCGGTACTGGTGGGTTGTCTTTTTTTTTTAATGTATTCAAAGGCAGATTGATTTCATTCCTTAAGCACCAGAAACCCGATCTGATTTTTTCAGGATTGCAAGAGTTTCCAAGGTTAGTAAATATCAGGAAAGCATTTCTTTGTCAGAACTGCCTGTGAAGATAACATGGTTCCTCAATTTTAGAAATGCCTTCTGAGTAAATATTTTGTCATGAAGATACAGGCTTAAATGACAGTTATACCCAACCTCTGATGCTAAAAGTCCTCTTCTCTATGAAAATTTAACTGGACACAAACAGTTCAGTCAGCATACAGAGAAATAAATGTGTACTCCGAGATGTATTCAAACAGGGATGTACAAATGTCATAAAAATATGTAGAAATAATCCTATGTCAGATACACATTGAAATCAGAAACCACAGACAAATACCACTTGAAGGCATAGCTCAGACATAAGTTACACCCTGCCATATTCAAAATAAACACAGATGAACAACTTAAAGAGAGATCTGCATACCACATTCAGATTCCAGAGAAGGGAAAGAAGAAAACATGCCTAAGATCATAATGTACACACAAAAGCTTTATTTGTTACACGTCCTAAAGTGGTCATTGAGATGAAAATGGCTAGGAATAGATATTAGTACAGTTATCAACTGCTTGCAATAGCAGGGAATAAGAATTAAGGTGGTAAGCTAAAACCTCCACCCATACATTCAAGAATTTTGAGGGATACAAGAGGGATACACATACAAGAATCTTCAAAATGCAGACCTGTATCAGTTCTGATCCAATCTAGTTGCTTATAGCCAAATATACAAAATAGAAAGCCAGAACTGAATCCTGATATCTAAATACTCAGAGAGTGGTCTGTTTCTTCTAATCACAACTATGTACAGGTAGTCCAGTTTGTTTAGTGACCGTTCAAAGTTATAAGCACAGAAAAAAGTGACTTATGACCATTTTTCATACAACTGTTGCAGCATCTCCATGGTAATGTGATCAAAATTTAGACATCTGGCAACTGTAAAATGGGCCAAAATTCATTTAACAACTGTCTCACTGTAACAGAAATTTTGGGCTCAATTATGATCATAAATCAAGGACTGTCTGTATTACATATATTATCTGTCCTAGCCTTTAACATGCTTACTTTATATATATATATATAGACATGTCTGTGTAAGTATGCATGTACTATACATACACACATAGCCATGTAAAAAGTATTTTGGGGGACCCCATATTAAATATTTTCTCCATTAATATAATAACAAATTTGTCTCCAAGGCATCATATATTACATTTAATCTATCTGATGTCTGAAAAAGAAAAATGAGCTTAATAATTATAAATAACATTTGTCCTCAATAACTTTATAACCATGAAACAAGTACATTAACACTGAAAGATAGTCATGGAAAGAGTATTCAGAGAGTTAAGTTTAGATACATGTATGTGAATAAAACAGGTATATGCAGTGGTGGGATTCAAATAATTTAATAACTGGTTCTTTGCCCTAATGATTTTTTCCCAGAACCAGTTCACCAAACTGCTCAGAAGGTTAACAACGAAGGTTAACAACCACAATCCCACCACTGGGTATATAGAATAAATATAGATATACATGGCAGTCATAATTTCATAGCATTTCCCAAGATAATAACATAGGCACTTTGAAACAAACTTTTCTTATGCTCTGTCCAAGTGACTGCACTCCACCCTAATGGAGTCAAACCTTTAAAAGGACCCCTATTATTGATACTGTTGGTAGAAAGCAACTACTTTGGTGTCTGACCCCAAAACTGATCTTTGTAACAAAAAATTCATTCTCGTGCCCTGCCTTTCTTCTTGTAAGAAAGAAACAATCTAAAAAAAGGTTCTTGTACAGAGTATGATTAAAATATACTTGAACAGAGTAAATTGGATTCAACATCTTCAGATACAAAGACGACAGATGTGGACAAGTGTCCTTGTCTATATGGATACATGGTGCAATAGCAAAAAACAAACGAAAGCTACAGTACAGCATTATGGTTTTTTTTTAAACAGTGCTATGAATAGAAAGACAATGACAGATTCAGACAAAATATTAAAGTGCAGAAACAACACATTGATAATAAAGTATTTATTGTCAAGGTTACCTGTGAAATCTGGATCATGTGATAAGTAGAACAAGGAGAAACTGACAACTTTGAATTACGTTGTGGAGAAAATTGTTGAGAACAACAGTGGACCATAAAGGAGTCATCCAAAATTAGATGAAGATTGCTCACTGGAAGCACTAATAATGAACGTAATGCTTAAATATTTTGGATACATAATGAAGGCAACAGACATTGGAGAAGACCCTGATGCTTGGAAAAATAAAGGCAACAAAAAGAGGCCTCAGAAAGACAGGGAGCTGAGCATTATCACCAATTCACAAATACAAGCTTCACAGAGTCAATCAATCAATCCTTCCAAAATTATGTCTAATTACAAAAAATTAGGGAGGAAAATGAGTGGCTAATAATAATAATTTAAAAAGCAGGGTCAGAGCTAATTATTAGTTGATCAAGAAATTAGAGCTCTATCTCGCCAGAAAATTAGAAAAAGCATGCAGAAAGGATAATCCACTTATGTACTATTTAAAAAGGAAACCACCTCTACATTGTTATCAAGAAAACCCCAGGGGGTATCTATGTAGTCTCCAGGAGTTGACTTTAACTCAAGCAAATTTTGACTTGATGTATTTAAAATTCGTGGTGATTGGGATCAAACATCCTTAAATGAACTTCATCCCTCCCCATGATATAAAAGTATTAATAATTATTATTCAGTGGTGAATAAAAAGCTCTTTAAACATATATATCAAAACTTTGTCTGGCAAAATTAGAATATATTTAGTGTAGGACAAACATATGTGACTAAAGCACTGGCACTTTTTGACACCTATTGAGTTTAAATCCCCCAAACACAAAAACAAAGAAGCCTAAAGTTTATGTCAGGCATACCAATTTATTTTGGGCCAAAGAACTAATGTATTAACAAATGGGAGAGAGCGAGAAAGGGAAAGGACAGGAAGAGAAAAGATGGATCCACCTACCTGGACTCTGGTTACACCCATTTCTTCCATAGAGCTTTCAACAGATTACACCCATAAGAATGAAGCTCTATGCAGAAAAATGATACTGTGCCATGGCCTAAAAGCAATTTGCTTATGTTGAATAACTTTATTCCTGTCCACAGGAATTCTTTTTGAAGTGACAGTTGAAATATATGCAGGATTATTGAAAAGCTAGAACATACTGTGAAATGTGTAGAACTAAATAGCATGGGGGCAGAATTGAAAGAAAGGGGAAGCAATCTCACAGATCCTATTGCAAAAGCACATAAATCATAAGTGATGAAAGGAGGTGTTCCAGATAGACAAACACTGTAGGCTCTATCAGGCTAGAACAAGAGTCAGCCTTAGATTTTGTTCTCGTCCCTAGCACCAGAGCAGGAAGTGCCAGCCTCTGGCGTTGCCATTTAATCGTTACCTTTGTTTGCCTGCTTAACCCAGGCATCAGGCAAGAGGGTGAAGGTTAAGGTGCGGCAGGGTGTGGCAGGGAACACTATCTTCTAAGGCAAGCATCTAAAAGGTACCCAACCTTGCACAATGGGGAGGGGGAGGAAGAGAGAGGGAGGGGTGGGAGGGAGGGAGGGAGAGAGAGAGAAAATATACAAAATAACTATTGCACTGAAGCAACTTAGCAATAAGAGCTGATATATCCAAATGAGTTTTGTAAAGCAGTTCACATTTCTTTCTTTTGCAAAGAAATTGTGTTACATACTGATTAGCCTTTCAGTATTTGCCATAATTTAGATCATTTATCTAATTCTGTAGAATTGCGTCTATAATATTTCATGTAGAATACCATGATGAAGTTTTCAAGCAACCCAAAAGTGTGCTGACCAGAGTTACCTTTGGTGAGATGGGCAACTATATAAATTTGATCAGTAAATAAATACAAATGTTAAGTTTGATGAAGCAATTTTTTTAATTATTTGAAATATATAAGAAAAAGCAAGCAGGAATATCAGTTTGTGGATTTTGATTAAACATTATACATATTTACAGAGATCATTTTATTGCTATTCATTCATTCATTCATTCATTCAATCAATTCATTCATTCATTCATTCAATCAATTCATTCATTCAATTTCTATAGCCACCAATCCCAATCAATGACACAGAGCAACTTACAATTAAAAAATATATACAGGTAGTTTTCAATTTACAGCAACAATAGAGCCCAATTTTTTGTTGCTAAGCGAGAGTTATTGAGTTTTGCCCCATTTTCGACC